AGCCAGCACTATTAAGCCCACTGGAACCACAAAATCGTGCCAAGCCTAGTGAGCACAGCATCCATGCCACGGTGTCCTTTTAAAGGCAAGCCTACGACCAAAGCCCAGCATCATAACGCCCATCTGTCTCAAACGGCCTACCGGACCAGCAGCCTGCCATGCACGCGCCAACGAGGCGCAATTGCAATTCACAGAACAGTCCACGCAGAGTGGGTCTCAATGACAAGGTAAAGTTATTTTAAACCAACCTCACAGCCCGGTACAAAGGCACACGATGCCAGTGTTACATATGAAGACACAGTCAGCAAATAGCACATCGCCCCACACCATCGCTATTAGCTTCAAGTCACAGTCCAAAGGATGCAGCATGGCCCCACATCAGAGCACCAACCGCCTAGGACCAGCAGCATGAACCATGCTCAGCTAGGCCAAGGCAGGCAAGTCATAAGCCAGACAAGCATGCCATGACACAAGTTTTGGCCGTAGGATTTAGACGAGGTAGCAGCATGGCGCATGCCATTACTGAAGAGCGACAATAAGCAGTAATTGATCTCATAATATAATAGACTACAATCATACCTATTGGAGCGAGGCCATCGAGACCGATTCTATAAACCATAAAGAGTGACTTAACGACCTATCTTGCCTTTAGAGAGTCCTAGGGCAGCCTCGTCCATGGCCACCGGCCAAAGGGAGCCCCAGCCAAATGTTCCATCAAGCAATCGACTCATTGGAGCCTAAGCGCCTAAGGCGCCATACAGCATGCCATGACCACGGCCCAAGCCGCAGCCGGATGTAGACAGCGACAGAGACATGCCATAGCCATTCAAAGGCCTACGAAGCAGCACGCACTGTCCACTGGCGTTCATAGCACACGGCACGGAAATAGCGAGCGAGCCAAGTAACCAAACCGCAGCAGCCAAAATACATCAAGAGCATCATGCCAGGTAGTGTTAGGCAGCATGCCATGCCACGGCTAATGGCAGCCCAGCCAAGCAGCAGCATGCCAGCAAGGCCTAGGCCAGCAGCATACGCATTGTTCTTGTGGTATACGGCCAAGGCAGGCCACCCAAAGCCAGTCAGCAACTGCCAATGGCCAAGAAAGCTCAAAGTGTGGAGCCAGGTCAGTCACATGCGCAGATACCGCAAGCCCAACAGGCACTGGTTTAAACGGACTAACATGTAGCTATTCCATACACCATCCGAATAATGAACCATGTCAGCATGCCCATGCCAAGCAGCCTAGGCCAGCAGCAAACTGACCATGTCACCACGAGCCGATGGCAGGCCAGCGCACAAGCCAGCAGCAAGCCATTGCCAGGCGCGAGGGACTACACCAGCACGTATGCCATGCCCACGTTGTCTCAATAATGGCCAAACGCAAAAGCTCACATAGAGTTCCAATGCAGCATTAGCCATCGCGAGGATGCGCCAGGTGCCAGCAACTGCCATGCCCACGGCTAAGGGTCAGACCCTAAAGCCAATTGTCCAGCTAGCCATGCCATGCCAAGGCCTAGGCCTAATCACATGCCAGCCACGGCCCCAAGAAGCAAGTCCAAAGCGAAGCAGCATGCCTATGCCAGGCCCCCGTGCCAGTACAAGCATGCCATGCCTACAGCCAAAACGGGTCAGCCGTCCAGCCAAAGCCAGCACAGCCATGTCTCAAGAGGCAACAAGGAGAGCCATGCCTAATGCCCACGGCCTAAGGCATATGCCCAGCCAAAGCCAGCAGCATGCATTCGCTCATAGGCTAAGGCCAGCAGCATGCCATGCCACGCAAGGCCGGCCTTCCAGCCCATAAGCCCAGCAGCATCACATTGACCCACCCTGCCAAGGCCAGCAGCATCAATGCACCCTAGAATATCGGCCAAGGCCGCCCTAGCGACCTATACCAGCAGCATGCCATGACCAAGGCCTAGGCCAGTCAGCATGCCCATCCACGGCCAAGGCAGGCACCTTCCAAACCTAGCAGCATCCATGCCAACGTGCGCGTTTAGGCCTACCTTAGAGCAGCCCATTACCAACACGGCCGGCAAGACGTCACATGGCATGTCTCAGAATGCGTCCATGACAGCAATGCTCATGCCAAGCGCCAGGGTCCACAGCACTGCCATGCGACGGCTAAAAGGCAGCCACCCAAAAGTCGGCAGCCAGTCAATCGACCATGGACCAATGGCCTAGGCCAGCTAGCGATGAGACAATGGAGGAGATGCGCCCACAGCCAATCGTGAACACAAAGCAATTAGGCAGAGGACCAGCCAAAGCAAGCGAAAATGCCTATGACCAGAGGAAGCCGTAACAATAAGGACAGACAGCATGCCATGCCACGGCCAAGCATCACCAGCCAAAGCCAGCTAGCATGCCATATCAGCGGCCAAGGGCTATGCAAGCGATGCCCTCATGCGCGTATCACGGCCAACTGGTCGCAGGCCGCAGCTCAAAGCCAGCAGCATGCATGCCAACGGCCAAGGCAGGCTCACCCAAAAAGCCAAGCAGCATGCCATGCCAAGGCCAAAGTCCATGCCAGCTCAGTGCCACGCCCGAAAGGCAGGCCAGCCAAGGCCACACAATGCCATGCCAAGGCCTAGGCCAGCAGCATGCCCATGGCACGGCCAACGGCAGCCCAGCCAACGCCAGCAGTCAATGCCCATAGCTATCAAGGCCAAGGCCTTATCAAGCATGCAATACGCCATGATCCGTACAGGCCCTAGGGCTCAACCTATCATGGTCAAAAGTCTAGCAGCATGCCATGCCCATGAGCCCAGCGCGGCGACAGCGATGCAAAAGCCAACTATCTCACCTTAGCGGTGCCTAAAGAAAGTGAGGGCAGCGCGGAGGGGTCGCTTGCAAGCCAGCAGGATAAAGTATTACATTCAAGAGAGTTGTGAATCCTAGGAGGACTCTACATGGCACCAAGGGACCTATAAGGAAGTCCTACCATGAGACTAGTTGCCACCAACGCCGGAAAACTATAAACAGAGCCACCAAAGCCAGCAGCATACGCTCATGCCGCACATGACCAAGGGCACTATATAAGGCAAAAGGGTACATGACCACACACATGTTGACTCTCCTCTAGCGAGCCAAATACACAGAGCTTTTGGGTCACGTATCTTGATGCCTACTTATATTAGCTTGGACCCTAGCAGATCGACTCCGAGTGGAGAGGTATCCAAGGCAAGGCACGAGCACACCAACCATGCCACTCGCCGAGCGGCTCAAACGCCTCTCTAGCATCTAGCCATGCCACGGCCTAATTGGTAGTCCTCCAGCCAAGCGCAGCAGGGCAGTTGACACACATGGCGACGCAAGTGTTGCCAATAGGCCAGCAATGAGCGACTGCGCACGACTTGGGGACCATACAAGGCAAAACCTCAGCCAAAGCCAGCAGCATGCCATGCAAGCGGACCAGAAGATCCAGCAAGCATTTGCCCATGCCCTACGGCCTGCTCAATGGCACCCCAGCCCACAAGCCGAGCAGCATGCCCATGCCAAGGCCAAGGCCAGCAGACCATGGCACATTCGAACAACGCCAAAGCATTGCACAAAGCCAGCCAGCAAGCAACACCATTGACAAGGCCTAGGTCACCACCAGCATCATGCCATGATCCACGGCCAAGGCAGGCCAGTCACCAAAAACCCCAACAGACATCGCAACTCACAAATGAGGTTCCAAATGTAACAACACCATAAGCCTACCATGCACACAAACAGGCGCACCAAGGTATGTGACACCCAGCCAAAGCAGCAGCATGCTCATACATTTAAGGATTGTGCGTCACCTAGGCGTCCAATGCGTCGCAAGTGCCCTATAGCGACGTTCCTATGTCGGAGTCCATAATGAGCGTATGCATGAGCCATAGCTCTAATAAGCGAGAGCATGCATGCCAGGCCTAGCCAGCAGGATCGGCTCCAAATGTTCCATAACTTGGTATACCGCGCACCTCATTGTGATAGTGCTAGAACACCTCTAATGACCACCACACTAGTCATGGCGAATGCTTCAATAACCTATATGATAGACTCTATTAAGCTCTGTATGCTGGCAGTGGAACATACCTAAACGGCCCAAGGCAGAACACAAGACCATAAAGCCATGCTCATACATGCCATATGTATCACCAATACGCCTAGGATACACCAGCATGCACCATTGACTCCACAGGCGAGATTGTGGTTCATCCAAGCAGCAATGAATGCACCAAGAGACTATACATGGCTCTCAATCGTCAAGTCCAAGTGCTCTGAGCGAACGTCATTGCCACTCGAATAGATACATGGGCTTGGGCTCTTGAGGTCTGCGGAGGCGTCATGGACGCTAGAATGATAAGTCAGCTAATGGCAGATGCGACAGCCTAGCCCAGCAGCATGCATGCTCGAAGTGTGAGCCCATAAAACTCTCTACAAGGAGTCAATGTGCATTTAAAGCCTCTAGACGAACATTGACAAATGAACCAAGGTCTTAGTGACCAACCATGCATTGTCATGGTCCACGTGTTTTCACTAAAACATGGGTACAAACGTCTGGCCTTAGTATACCATCAAGCCAAAACCGCTACTTACATCATATTAATAATTTCATAAGGCCAAGGCAGCAGAACTGAGAACATTAAGTCTCTATTTAACTACAGTGTGCGCCGTATAATTGAGTTCAGACCCAGAGATCAAAACGCCAGCCACATGACCAGTGTCGCACTATAGTAGCCTCACGCCAGCAGCTTTTGCCATGCCTTGGTTCCGACGAGATGTGGAGCAGCCAGTCTCACATTAACTAACTATGTTCTACTTGCTATAACACTATATAGGCCAGGGCTAGACGAGATCTAGCGCTCTGAGCACCAGAGATAGTAGAACCAAACTGGCCAGTCCAATATGCTAAAGTCACAACAATGTCTATGCCCTAATAAAAAATATATGAGAGCCTAGGCCAAAAAAGACAGTACAGGAACATGTGCAATATAACGGCCAAAGTCAAAGCAAGCCCAGTCCAACAGAGCCAGCAGTCTAATGACCATGATTCTAAGAGGTGTCTTAAACGGCTCTTAGCGAGCTATAGAGCTACTCGCCCACGGAGAATTGAGCCCCAGCTTCAGGATATCCAGAGAGTTGTGGCGAAAACATTTCTAATAGCAGCATTGGCTCGTTAGACCTTTATGACGTATATTTTGGACTAGCAGAATCAATATGAAGATAGAACACAAAAACGGACCTTAAGTGCAGTGGCCTTCAGTTTCCGAAGCACACAGTGGCAACCATGTTCTCTATGTTCTCAATTCGCCGTAGGCAAGCATACAATGACTAGCGGTAAAGCCAAAGAGACATGCGCACTAGACACCAAAATACCATCAATCTGACCCATGCCATAGGCCAAGCACTAGCAATGTCAATGCCATGTGTTTTCCAATAAATTATTGACCGGTCCTATAAGTTCATGTCTCTCTATATATCTAACTAAGCCTTAGTCTATTAAATTCCATCTCACACACTCAAATACGTCAAAAACCCAAGACAGCAATACGCGTATTGTCACACGTTTATGCTCATAATGGAGCCATGACTAAAAGGCCACTACGCATCCTTGTCATGTCGGGCGAAAGTCGCCAGTCACAGGCACAGCAAATCCAATGCAAAAGAGACACATTTGAGAGTCCAAAGCAGCATACGAACTATGACCTACTCGACCAAGGACTAGGCTTCATTGAGCAGACACCAACAATCCTAGCAGTCATGCTCATTGCACCTATTTGACCTATGTGCATGCGAGGAGCCCATGTATAACACATCGGGCGCTCATACATTTTTGTGGGAGAGCGAGTCCAGGCACTAACACAAACCCAAAGTCCACATCCAGTCAGTGGTTCCATTGGAAATTTCGCCAATATGTGCAAAGGCCTAGAAGAGTTATGCCATGTTCTCTAAACTTTCCTTATAAGCAGTACTCCAGCCAAAGTCCAGCTACTGACATATGCCATGAGCGCCATAGAAGCATCACCGTTCCTCCCTAATGGCTCATGCGAGCATTTTGTTCTCTTATGTCCACGTCCAATGCTTATGACACCAGTCTCAGATATATGCACAGTGCAGCATGCACATGTTGCTCAAAAGAGAAAAAAAGTGGAAACCAAGGCCAGCAGCATGCCATGCTTATGAGATTTGACTCAAGTACGAGCCATGATTCCTAATTTAGCCTAAATTAATTATTTTAACGTATTTTGTCTTTTAGGTTTCGTTTGAGAATAGATTATTTTAATAACTTTTTGACTTTTTACGAAAAGATGTACAGAAAAATAAAAAGAATGATATGACAATTTAGAGTGACTTTTTAACTTTTTGACTACTTAGCTTCTAAACGAGGCCTTAGTACTATTTTAGCCAAAAAAATAAAAAAAAATCCTTCCCAAACACCCCTACACATTTGACTTCTTGGACGATGTTAAAACATAAAAGCAATA